CATGTGTGAAGGGTGAGTGTAAGGGGAGTGCGTGTGTGTGCATGCTCACTGTTTGTCTGGCTCATAAAACGCACAAGGGAGAAGTGCTGTCCTTGCCTTTATACTGTCCACACTTTACCAGCATTTAGGACAATGCTCTAAGATGCAAGACCCAAATTCATTTCACTCTTCAGAGGAAACACAGATCATCACATCTCAGAGGAATGCCTTGAGCTCTAATGTATAGAATCATTCTTTAAAATATTCTTCCAGTGTATGGAGGACAAAATGTAGATCAGCTGTTACTGTGTCAAAAGAGGAAGCTAAAAAATGGTGTCCTCAGATTTGCTGGAGAGACAGGAGGTCTTGCTCTAAATTTGTCAGAAAAAGACGATATGTGTTGTTATTTGTCTTCAGATATTGGATGACTCTTGTTCCTGTTACAGCAGGGTAGGGGAACATCAGCGCTGTTTTACTGAGGCATCTGAAGGTTTCTCTGATGTAGGAGCAGCAGCAGTCTGGCATAAAGCCTTCATTGCTGACTTTGTGTCACTTGGAGCTGGCCTTGATGCCATTAGCAGCATGCTGGTGGTGCAAGGTGGGACTGGATTCCTTCCAGATATGATGTAGTATGTCTGGGACAATTCATGTATCATGACTTGAGGCCATTTGCTTTCCCCTAGCAGTGGTTTGACACAGCTGAGAATATTTCTCTCTGTGTGAACTCTTGAGACTGATGGCTTTTTTAAAATTTTCTTAGGGACTTTGTTTTGTAAATTAAAACTTGTATAACATGAATTTAGCCTTTTCTATGTCTTTAATTAATTCTTCTTCTTGTATTCTTAATGCATGAGTTAAAGATCTTGAGTATTTGGTTCAAAACATAGTTTCTCAGCTTTTGACAGTTTATGCCACGGTTCTACTGGCTTGTTATTGTGCTGTTTTGTGTTTAGGAAGCACTAGCCAAATCCTCTTTTGACTCATTTTTACAGTAGTTGTCACTATACATTATTAAGAACATAATTCCTTTCTGAGCATTCATCTTATAAAATTAAAAATAGAAAGAATTTCTGGGGATTTTTAATTTGCAGGAAAAGATGACTAAATTAAGTATGTCCTAATGAAAAAGTGAAGACTTTATGATAACCTAATTAAAAGTCTAAAACTAGAAATGCACTGATAAAAATTGGTTCACAGAAATTTTAGGTGCTGAAAAGAATATAAAAGCTGAGTGGATTTAATACAAAAAGACAAAATCAGGTAAAAGAGAAAGTATATAAAAATGTTTCAAGCAAAGGGTAATTGTGAAAAGGGCTATTACTACTGTCTGTAGTATGGAGAAAAGAAAGGAGGGGAGTAGCATTTGCATAAGAAAACTCCTCATCATTAGGATGTGGTATTTTGCTGCATCATCTTGTACTTCTGCAGTTTGCTGCATCATTCCAGTTCAACTGCAACATTCCTGGTGCTAAGTCAGCATGTTTAGAAATTCAGAAAAACTGGAGATATGCAACTACTCTTATCATATATTATTTCCATATTTTTAATATTTTGCATATTGAATATTCTAAACAAAAATGTAAAAAATGCTGAGGTTGTACTTAACACTAGATGTGCTGGAGCACGCTACCCCCCTCTCCCAGGCAGCACAAGTGAGTATCATTTGCAAGAGGGAATGGCACACAACCAAGCGTCATCCTGACGTGCAGCGGGGAGAGCCCAGCTACATAATTCACTGTGGTGGGCAGTGGCCCAGGGGTGGGTGCAACAACTGCATCTAATGAAACAACTACATCTAAAGATTGTATCTTTCATACTGATGGGAAAAATCTGGATCAGTGCACCTGTCAAATCCTTCTAGCCTCAAAGATGCATCAGATAACTAAAATATTCTGACTCAAGAGTCTCATATTTCATATAATCTATATGAGGTCTTTTTGTATAAATATTCAATAATTTTACACCTTTCTTTATACATAAGTCAAAACTGATTATCACAACAGAAGACAAATTGAAGTTCATTTGTATGGGAAGTGAGAGTGGTAAGAGGTGAATGATGAATTAGAAAACTGTATGGTTTCTTACCAAATATTTACAATTTGACCAAAGTTGACTTTGGTTAAAACAACAAGGGGATAGATGGTGGCCCTTTGCCTTGGGGGAAAAAAAAGAGATTTTAGAGACTATAATGCATATTTGTCTAACCAGAGAGGATATGGGCAGCACTGACATTTAGCATTTTGCCTATTCAGCAGCATCTCTTACTAGTTCCCAAACAGAAAGCTCTCATCTAACAACATATTTTCTTAGCTTTGTAGAGCATGGAGATAGAAATGGAATTAGAAAATGGTGAAGAAAAGGTTAAATGTTGGAGTAAATCTAATAGATACATCTATTTTTATTTCTCAGTTGAAATAATAACCATTACTAGTCAAGCTCTTGCAATGTTCTAGAAGTCAATGAAGCTTTTCACCTGGAGTACCTCCAATCTGCAAATACTCAGTCTAAGAATTGTACTTAACTGCTGATAAAATTAAGCAGCCATTTGAATTTACTGCTGACATGCTGTAAGAATAACTAAAGCTATAGAAGGTTGGTCATTGGAACATTTTCTGAAAGAGTTTACATGCTCATACTATCGCTTTTAGTATAAACACAAAGAAATAGCTTGTCTTGCTTTTTATAATAGTTTTTTTGTTTTGTTTTTTTTTTAAGGTTAACACAAAGCAAAGATATTTATTCAAAGAGTTATATTCTTATTCAATATTTATTTCTTCATGTTTGTCAATTCAAGTGTTATTATAGAAGCACTTATAGAGTGCTCCCAAATGGGTTAACTATTTTCTAGATACTTAGCTCTCAAAAAATTAGCAAGGCTTAGGAAAGCTTTTCTTTTGGTAGGGAACTTGGTATGATAAGTGATTTTGGTGACTGAGCAAACTACAGTTTTTAAGTCCAGAACTGAATCAGGAGTTCTGAGAAAGAACTCTGATTGAGAAGGCCTTGTCTTCTAAAACTGCCATAAAGCTGGCGTGGAAATCACTCTGGGCTTCCTGATATTCTTCAGTATTTAGACTATTCGTTATATATCCTGACAAAATCCTGTGGTTGAGATTACTGTCTGCCTACTTTTTATTTTATTCTAAGTATTTCCACTATTGGATCTAAATGCTTGTCTAATGTTTTTTCCTAGCGGTGACTATTTCTTAAATTCAAAGGTAGTTTTACTAAGGTCATTGAAATTTTTTTGTGTGTTAGTTAAGAAGAAACTTCTGGACTCATCTAAGAAAAAGGAAGCATAGATGGCATCAGTAAATATTTTATTGCTAAATGTGTATTTTCATAGAGAAAAAGAAAGAATCGCATTTTTGTTAGGAAGAAACATAATAAGATTTTATTTCCACAGTTTGGAAACAGAATGTTCCTTTTGAAATTTCTTATTAGTACATACTACACGTGGTACTTCAAAGATAACAGTTTCTGTTTCAGCATGCATATCTGTGGTGTCATGAAATCATTATATTGACAATTTTATTGATGTATTACTTGAAGCCTACACCTCCATCATTTTCAAAAATCAAAGCCACCTTTTATAGGACAGCAGCCTGTCATAGAACAACAACAGCCACAGATAAGAAGGCTGCAGGATGCCTACAGATAACATTTTTACATGTCTACGTTTTGAATGCCAGATATCCATCAGTCTCATTTAAAAAAAAAAAAAAAAGTCATAGGCTAACATCACTTTATGTCAAATTATTTTGAATTTATAAGATTGAAAATGTATTCCATATCTATCGTATTCTTCTCCATCACTGCCTATTTCTGTGACGATAAAAGTGATTATATCTGTGGCCAATGGCTGTGAGGAACTTTGCGCTTTGCAGGATCAGCAAAATAAGCAGATTCTTAACAGCCCAAAGCAAAAATGGAATTTAGGGTATTGAATCTGTCTAGTTAATTGGTCTAGATATCATTTTGGCATGAGATACCGGAAGGTTTAAAATGTATAGTATTATGCTAACCACCCAGTTTAATTGTCAGAAGATGGAGCATTAAAATGTAGACCAAAAATATCTGACAACCTCAGAAAGACTAATGTCTTGCAAGTCTAGAGAATGGAGTCTCTGTCTGGAGGAGAGTGTACGTGCCTCTTTTCATAGCTCTTTTTCTGAGCGGTTAGGTCAGAAATGCCAATTTCAGGGTACAGGATCCATAATTAGCAAGAGAGTTTTTACTGAGTAACTTAATCTGCCTAAAATAAAAACTGAATTTAAATCAAATCCCAGATTTAGAAAGTAAATCCAACCTAGTTTTGGCTTAACAATTCATTGTTAAAAATACTTTGTCAATTTAAAGTAAACATATATGATTGTTGGTTCAGTTTTGTTTTGTTTGTTTGGTTTTTTGAATTATACCTTTGCAAAGGCTTTTTTACCAAAATATTTTTAACTTACTTTTTAATTTACAGAAACACAAAGATATTGTAAGAAGCTATAGAATATAGAGTAATAACTTTTAAAAATGGAAGAAATTATTATGACTTTGTCAATTTAAAGTAAACATATATGATTGTTGGTTCAGTTTTGTTTTGTTTGTTTGGTTTTTTGAATTATACCTTTGCAAAGGCTTTTTTACCAAAATATTTTTAACTTACTTTTTAATTTACAGAAACACAAAGATATTGTAAGAAGCTATAGAATATAGAGTAATAACTTTTAAAAATGGAAGAAATTATTATGCAAATAACCTCCTGTTTTTTTATTCCAATTGTTAAATATCAAAGAGAGCAGAATATCTGACAAATTACATCAATACTAACTTTCGTATAGTATGTTCTGTTCCATGTTTAAGATGTTTACTAATTCTTTCCACCACAGGCCTCTAAATTAAAGAACTAATCTAAATTTTTGCCATGTTAATGATAGTACATTTGTTTAGATCAAGTTGTCCCAAATGATATTAGGTGTTTTATAATGTAAGTTACATAATATTTCTGATTTTTTTTTGGTTTATGCTAGAAGTTACATGGGAGGACCAGCAGAAAAAGATGAATGGTACAATAGCTGATGACAAACCATTGCCGAAAAAGAAACACCATTCTGAGCCAGGTTTGTCAGGGTTTGGAAAACCACATGAAAGCATGAGACTATAAAAACACATTTCATGCTTTTGTAATGCGTGTGTGCTTGATGTACCTTATTTTTTTTCACTTTGGTGTGAAATTTTTAGTATGTAGAGACCATTTAGATTACATAGTTCTGTTTTAGAATAGCCAAAATAGATCTGCTTTTGTAAACAATTGTGTTAGAATGCACATGCATTAGAAAAGAAGTGTTCTGGCACAATATTAGACTTAGCTTGCTTTTTAGTTTTGAATTTTGTTATGATTTATCTATGTGTGCAAGCCTCAGGAATCTAAGTATGAGTTATGCTGATTCTCATTTAGTTGACCAAACCAAGGTATCTACTGCATGTATGGTGGGAAAGTCATCTTCTAAAGACTTGAATCTGAAACCTTCTTGCACCATCACACATGGCAGAAATAATGTTCTGATGTAATTTTTTATACAAGATGCATTTTATATCTCCAGCAGAGAGATATAAAATGCAGATATACCTCCATTTTATAACTCCAGAACAGCTGGAGTTCTCTAATCTAAGAGAACTCTTCCTTCCTCCGTCCTGTACATGAATGGATTTCTTCTGAAACTAAAAACTATCACAAACTTTCTTCCACCCCAAACATACAGTGCAATTCTTCGACTCCATCTTTGTTCCTACAAATGCATAGCAATAAAAAGTAAACCTAGTAATAATGATGATGATAATGATGATAATAATAGTATTGTTCTCTCCTCTGAATCAGACAATAAAAAGTCCTAATCGCATTAATTTATGCACTTGCAAAAGGCACTGAGATATTATGGTGATAAGCACACTGTAAGGAGGAGAAGAGAAGAGAAGAGAAGAGAAGAGAAGAGAAGAGAAGAGAAGAGAAGAGAAGAGAAGAGAAGAGAAGAGAAGAGAAGAGAGAAAAAAGAAAAGAAAATATAAATTAAAATAAAAGAAAAGAAAGAAAAAAGAAAAGAAAAGAAAGAGAAAAGAAAGAGAAAAGAAAAAGAAAAGAAAAAGAAAAGAAAAGAAAAAGAAAAGAAATCTTTAGATTGCAGGTTTAATCCTGTATTTAAAGGTTGATCCAATTCTACTCAAGTGAATAGGAATTTTTCAGTTCCAAGAACACTTAGGTTCAGTTTTGAACTTCAAATCTCTCTCTATTGGGCATATTAGTTGTCTCACTTACTCTAATAACAACAATTTTCCCAATCACACAAGTTAAAGCTTACAAGATTGGCCAATTGTACCACCTCCTAAATTAATGCTGTAATCTCAGTTCTAGGCTCACCTACATGCTGGTCATTTCCAAGCTTTTTGTTGAAGCTGAACTTACAGTGTGCTTATCACCACGTACAGCTGAAAGTGCAAGAGTCAGAACTGAAGAGCAGCAAAATCTGGATTGACTCTGTAACGTAGGAATTAGGGAACCTAGCTGCAAAAGGCCAGACCTGCAGTTACATTTTGTGTTCCCTGACTTTTTAATGCATCAGAGGAAGTTACAGGATAAAACAAGTACTGCTCGTAAGAGTCAGGATCAGAATGTAATTTATCTTCTTTTCCAGCTGAGTGTTTTAACTATTGCGTGACAGATTCAAGATACAATGTCTACAGACCTTCACTGCTGCTTTTCCAGGGCGAGTTCTGCAGAATAATGCCTGTGCCCAGACTTTTCCCTTACATAGTAGCTATGTAAGAACATTATCTCCATCTCCCAGCTGAGGTGGGCTTAGAACTGTGGTCTAGGCAGATGGCACATTCATAGTTACTAGCAATACTTGTTGAGAGCCACCTTCCCCATTTTTTAGAAACGGGAGCCATATTTTATTAGATGGCTGCTCTTGGGGCATTCTAGATTTTGGAACTTGAGTGAAATCTTGTAAGACAAAAAAAACAGGTAGAAGAATAAAAAACAGAAACAAATATGGGCATTAAAAAGTTGTCAATTTAGAAGTGTTTTGTATATTAAAACAATCTTTATCTGATTTTTATCTATTTTTTCCCCTGGAACAGTACCACTGATCTCCAGTACTGCAGGGAATACACAGAATTGGTTTGGAAAGCCACAGTCACAATTACCAAAGTCTAGAATAGATACAAAGTTGAGTAAAAATTGTGTTCTGCACTCTACAGTCCTAGGTCTTTCTGTGAGGGCTGATACCTGATAAGACCATAAATTCTGTTCTGATTTACGTTATTGATAATGTCTTCCATGGTATATTCACATGGGACAATGATACATGAGGCAGAAACATCTGAGGTGGTTCTGAACACTCTACAATGGGCACCAAATAGCGCATACCTATATTCCTAGGATGCTTTTCCAAACTAATTCTCTCTGTCAAAAAGCCCTAGGTACTAAAGTGGTAGAAGTGGAGGAGTACCAGCGTAACAAATCAATGCAGCTTCCAGGATTTGCATTATCTGCTATGCGTGGCACACTACTGTCCCCTATAGACATCCCTATATCATTACAAACACTTAGTTCATTTTCAAGGCATAGCAGTCAGGACAGCTGGAAGGAGGTGCCATAACACTGTACTCACCCCTGGATGTTGAGATAGATTGTGTCTGTGACCATGATCTACCAGTGATGTAGCCTGACAGAATCTACCTACGGAAGCTTCAAATTCCTTGAAGCTTTTCAATACGGGATTTACCTTCTGCACAGGACCATGCTTGCTTTCATCTGAAAATGCTTTAAATGTTCTTTCTGTTTGCACAGAAAACAGCAAGGTGATACTAATACAACTTAGTCCCTGGCTGCAGTTGGCAGTCTGCAGAGAGAAGCAAGGAGGAATACAGGCACCTCATATTGCTGTTGCCCTGTTTTGATTGCCTTTTCATACAAAGATTTTTCTGCTATAACCTGTTATGGAAGCTTGTCCCCTTTTTAAGTTCAGTTTGTCTGTTAAGAATTTAACCTAACCAGTCACATGGAAATAGCCATGGCAGTATTACAGCCAAGAAAATCTGTGAGAAAAAATAGATATTGATTATATAAATACCTTGAGTGAAGAACTGAGACTGTGAGCAAATTTTAGATAAAAACATAAATAGATAATAAAAATAATTCCAAATAACAGAAAAAATAACAGTAATACTGTATCATGTGAAGCATTAATATTTAAGGAATATGCATGACTAGAAATGAGATTAGTGAATTTGTTGGAGGACAATTTAAGGTCATTAAATAAAGTAGTAAAATGGTTCTTATGTTTCAGGCTTTTCAATAGAAGATGCTGATAAAATTCCTGTTCCTGAATATCAGAAATCAACATGTTTTCTTAACAGTGCCTGTAATCTCTAAGTTCTGAGGCAATTTGCAAAACTATTGTTCCGTACATTACAAAGAGTCAATTGTATTTATGCAAAGATTTTGAAGGATTGGAAGGGTAAAATTGCAGAATCATAGGTAAGCATAGCATGAAAAATTCAAGCCATGTCTTGAATGTGTGTGCCCTTCTTTTAGCCGATGTCAGCACTCTGTCAGAGAATACTGCATTCTCAGGACACCACCAAATCAAAAAGCATGTGGAATAGTTATTTGTTCCTATCTAATATTATTAAGCATTCCTACTTTCAGCACCCCTGCCTCTGAGCTGTAATAGATGGCATATGAAAGAAAGTGAATAAAGCTCTAGTCCTTTAATCACGTTTCCTTGGTCAGTGAAGGAAAAAAAAAAAAGCAAAGCACAGCATGCAAACATTTTCACATGGTTTTGCATTTTTATATGTGAGGCCTTAAGAGAAGAAGTTGGAAAAGAAGTAGGCTATGGGCAGGGAATGTGTCCTGTACTGATAGAGATAAGGTTAGGCAAGATACTGTTTTTCTTAAAAAGCAATTATTTTCATCTAGTGTCATCACTAGTCTCTCTTGAACCCATCAGGGTTATTTAAAGGGAGAAAGCACAAAGTTTAGGGTACAAAGGCAGTGATACTCATTTCTATTCCTTGTCAATTGTTTTTGGAGTGTTCAATCAGTCTCACTATCCAAAGTTTTGGAAGCTGAATGCAGTTTGGCAAACTGTGTCTCCATCCAGAGATGATACAGGTAATGCAGAAACTACCTTCATGAGATAGCAAAGGAAACACTGTTGTTTTTCCCCTGTTTTTCCTACTTGGAGACAGTAGATTTGGTGGTTACTATCTGGAAACCATCCTGTAATGGTTTCATTATCGTTGCCTGTTAAGAATATTTCAGTGTCATCAAATATCCAACCTTTGCTGCAGACACTTAATTTCTAAGCAACAGTTGAAGAACAGAACCATGGGAAAGTGCTGACATATTTTAATATGATTGACCAAAAGGAGACAGAATAGTTGAAATGGATTTATACATCTCGGAATGGAATGAAGTAAAAATGGAGTGTCCTTGTAATTATCTGGGGGGAAAGCCGTATTTCTTTAATATAGTACTAAATTTTTAGAGGAATCATAACAATGGTAGGTTAAACACATCAGAAAATACAAAAGTAATGTGTGCTTACAAATGTTAAGTCTTTATATATGTAGATTGAGCTTTCAGTTTGAAGGGAATCATGGCTTGTTTTATCCATGGAACATTTATGTCTCTCTCCTGGGTGGAAGTATTCCTTGACTGTACATAGACAAAGCCCTTCAGAAATAATTTTAATGTGTCTATAATTTTGTAGTTTATCTATTGCCATGGAATCCGTTGAATTAGTAGAACAGTAGTCAAAAATAATTCAAAACAAAGTAGTGGTTATTTTAAAATAAGTTTGTAATCAGAACTGAAAGTATGATAGATTGAAAATTGTAAAAAGGGAGATATGGTTAGAAATGGAGAATGAATGAGGCTGGAAAAGACAAAGTAATGATAGGACACACAGAGCGAGAGGAGAGCACACCAGTACTTCATATAAATGACATCAGGAGCATTGGATAAATCAAAAATCATGGTTAAAGAAGAAGGCTGGTATAAAATTACCAGCTTGTGAAAAGGAGAGGAGCAGAGTGGAGTCATGGACTAGTT